GTGTATTTTGCCTCAGCTTTAAAAAAATGACCTGGAGGGCTTGTTAAACACAGCTGGCTGGGCCCCACAGTTGAGCTGCTCTGACTCAGAAGGTCCGGGAGGGACCTGAGCATTTGCATTCCTGGAAGGTTGTAGGTGATGCTGACCCTGGGGTTGCACTTTGAGAACCACAGATCCGGGCATCTGTGCAATGGAAGGGCTGCTCCCTTTGTGTTTAAGCCGGCACGTCCAGTGTTTATTGATCACCGTCCAGGACTACAAGTCATCAGGGCTGAACTGAAATTAGTGTTAAAAAAAGGGGGTTTTCAAATAACTAAACTTGGAATCCCATCTAGCCTCTGCCATCCCTTAACTGAACTCTTAAACAAGGCCTTTCACCTTGTTTGCATAATAGAAATAAAAATACCTGGCTCACTGGATTGTTTTGAGAATTTAAATTTAAAAATACAAAAAAAGAAAAAAATATGAGCAAGGGCCCGTGATATCACCTAGCTTACAGCAGGTTCTCAATAAAGTTATTAAAAAATAGATACATTATATACCTAACTGTATATCAACTAAACCTAATTGTATACATTATAATTGTAAGCAATTTTACAAATTTCATATAATTTACATATTATATGGATAAGTATAATTATTTTATATGTATGTAAATATATTATCACCATATTTTATTTGTTAAGGATATTTCCCTTGGCAAAGGTTCTACAGAGAGACCGTGGGAAGGGCTTGGGCCATATTTGTATCATCTTGGGATTCTCCTCAGAGCTTTGGACATAATAGACACTTGAAAACTACTTCCAGAGTGAGTGAGTGGATGAATGACTAAGTGAAGGAGCAGCAAACATCTAAAGGATTTAATTCTTCTGTCATCAAAAGCTCAGATACAGAGTCAGCACCTAGGAAGCAGGGTGACAATCTTGGCTACGCCAAGCATACTCTTGGTGACATCCATTCACATGTGGCTGAATTGGAGCAATAGCAATCTTCATAATCCTGTGCTGATAGATCCAGTCCCTAGATCCTGACACTGAGCTGGGGAATGGATTCCATGCCTCGTTCATGATCTATTGGCACATTTTTTCATGCAAACTAATGCGCTGTTCTTTGACGTCTTCAGCCAATAGTCAGTGACAGCCGCTGTGCACTAGGCTATGGGCAATCAGTAGCTATTTGGATGTAAAAAATATTCAAATATGTGTAGATTAGGGTGGTATTGTAATGAGAGGATCTCATAACTGGTACCATAAAATTCCCTTCTCTTGAGATTTGAAATCATGTTAGAGCACTAAAGCCTATCGGGAGAGGTCCGTTGGGTCAGATGTAATTTTTAGCTACTCGCCAATCAGCTGAGGGGGGGGCTCAGCAGAAGAAGGAAGATGATGAGAAGACTTGTTTGCCAATCAAAAATAATTTGCTAAACATGGGGATAATAATAAGAGTGTGAAGTTCTTCAGCCATTAACAGTGCCTGGTCCCTGCAGGCCAAGCCCCCCTCGTCCCCCAAATTAATGATTCTCTACTGACATGACTATGAGCAGCTGAGAGGCCTTCTCTGGAGAAGGGGCTGCCTCTTGGGGATGTGTTCCTGAAAGAGGACCCTGCTTGTCTTCTGTTCCACCAGGTCCTATGGGCTGGTCATGCCTGTCCACACTCCTTAGCACCGGCTCTTTCCTCTGTCTGTCACATTCTTCCACCAGATGTGCTCATAACTCGGTCCCTCACATCCTCCTGGTGAGAGCCTCACATGCCACCCCCCAGTGAGATCTTTCCTGACCACCCTCCCTAAACGTTCAGAGCCCCCCACACTCATCTCCTCCCCACTGCCTGTTACATTTTTCTCTGTAACATCCATCCCCTTCTCGCACACTTCGCAGGCCCCCTCACCGCCTTGCCTCTCGGCCCCACTGGAATGAAACTCTTGGATAGACAGGATTTTTTGTATGTTTTATTCATTCCCATGTCCCCAAGGTCTTGAACAATGCCTGGCACACAGTAGGTGTTGAATAAATATTTGCAGAATAATTGAAATGATGAGCAACAGGATGCTCTGCTTTCTCCCTGTACAACCTGATTTCCTCTAAATGCCCAAATAAGTTCAGGAATTTTGGCATATCATAATGAAGTAGTCACCTAGCCTCCCTGGTAAGAAATCACAAAAGAGTGGAATCAGCACAGGGACTCTACAGGTACAAAACACTCCCTAGTCTCATCACCATTTGCCATCAAGAGAGAATTCTTGGATGATGCAGATGCATTTTCCATCCTCACGTAGAAGGAGGAACGCTGCATGGTCCAGCCCATGGAGAAGGGAGGAATGTTTGGGGAAGGGTCTCTGGCCCTCCCAAGGGGCCCCACTGGAATCTCTCTGAGCAAGGCAGGCCTCAAGCTGGAAGGAAAGAGGACCTGCTCACAGGTGCTCGCAGCAGAGCTGGGGGCCACGGCCAGAAGTTGCTGGAGGTTTTCATTGTACCAACTTTGAAGGCAGGCTGGTGAAATCAGGCTGTGTGGTGTGAGGCCCGGCTCTGGGCTGGCGGTGAGCGACCCTGAGGGAGGGTCTGTTTCATTGCTGGCAATTTATTAGCACTGCATTTGGCATCTGAGGAGAGGTGTTTCTCTGCTGTTGAAGTAGAGACACCTTGACGAATTAATACCTGGACGTCATTCCTCAAAGCAAGGTTGAGAGCCTGTGAATTGGATGGATAGTGTCTATCTATGATACTAAATGAGAGGAGATTTTAAAAGCACTTGGGGTTTGTCCTTCAGTAGAATGAGCAAAGTTAAGAGCAATAGAAATTCATTATTCTGCAGATAACTACACTTGTATCTGACGTCTACCCCAGGCCCACAAGTGTGGTTTTGCCAGAGGTGATCTATTCCCTTCTTCCAAACAATCTGAAGTTTAAGTCCTGGACTTAAACTGATCTCATTCATCTTGTTTCTATCCATTAATGTCAGCACCCCCAAAGCCCAAAATGTATTTGTTATTTTGAAAGGCAGTGAGATGGGAGAACTTGCTTTGAAGCTGTTGCTGAAGCTGGTCTCAGCCCTCGAATCTCTGGACCTTGGGGGACATTCTCTGCAGACTTGTGAAGTAGGTGATTCATAGCACTTTTTCAGCAGGCTTCTCTCACCTGTTATCCTTGCCATAAACCCCTCCTGAGTTTTGTAATTTATCCTAATGTCTTTCCTAATTAACAGTTAACATAGTCTACAAATGAGTTCCTTTCCCGAATGAACTGATAAGAGTTCGTCACAACACCCACTTGCACTATATCACTGAGAAAGTTGTTTAGTCTCCCAGATCGGGCCCTGAGAAAACTCTCACACATAGAGGGAGGTCCGACGTGTGCCTTGATGAAGTTTATTTCTTTGCAAAGAGAACTGTTCTCAATTCCCTGTGTAATGCACCATCATCTTTTCAATACAAAGCTCTTCCAAATTGATAACGTTATCATTTTTCTGTGGATCCTCATTTGAGGCTGTTCAGCATCGCTTTGATACCAGAAATAATCAATCTGCCTGCCAAGGAAAGTTAAAGATTCCAGAAGGAACTTTGTTCAATGCTCTAAATGAGTCCTTCGCTTATTGTCTTTGCATCCAAGAGCAGAATTTGTGTTTATTGATTTATTTGTATATTGGCATTAACTCCAGAGTTAATTACCTGAGACTGATAGAAAATTAGAGTGGGGGGAATGGGCGGGCAGGATAAGACAATGTTACTCGTTTGGCCATGGACATCATCATCATCAAAATATTGCCAAACTCTGTCACTGAATGGTGGCTAGTCTGCCCTCTTCGGGGAGATACAGCAGCTTTCATTGATTTGGCCAGTTAATTAAGATCCAGTTTTAATGTCATGCTGCAAATGTCTGCATGGGGAGAGGCTGCTGAATTTGCTGGTCAGCAGGTCCTGCTTGCTCACTAAGTAATAAAACTTCCGGATTTCTAGCACGCTTGCCCCTTATAATCCTTGCTGCCTATAGACATGGAAAAATGCATATGAAAAGAGAGCGGGACCCTCAATATTTTAGATGCTATAGGAAACAAACCTCCAATTTTCAGTGGCTTCCCTTAATAGAGGTGTGCTTCCTTCCATATGACACGCTGGGGCTCAAAGCCGCAGGTGGATTCCATCTGCACAGTGAGTCAGGACCAGGTGCTGTGTCTGGCTCCTCCATCTCCTAGGACATTGGGATACCCTGAGCTCAGCTGGCAGAAAGAGAAAGAAAGGACATAAAGGGGAGCAGTCAGCTTAACTGCCTTCACCCAGAAGTGGCTATGTCACCCTGTCTCTGCTCGTGTTCCTTCACCAAGAATTAGTCACACAGACCACCTGGGTGCAAGGAGACTAGGAAGCCATTCTAGACCATGCAAGGGGGAGCATGAGCCTTGCAGGGAGGTTGGCCAGCTCTGCCACATCCCTCTGTAGCTCTGCTATTTCAAGACAAGAGCAGGAGCTGCATTTCTGGCTGCCTCCATTCTCTTACAGCTTGCAGGGGAAAGACAGTGGTTGGCCCTTCACAGACATGAACGCCAGTATCAGCCGGCCCTCACCGACAGTATGGCAGTTGTGTTCAGGCAACCACGGAATTGATAAGCATAGTCGTTGTGCTTTTTTCTTCTTTGCACGTTCTGATCAGGACAATTGCTATGCATTAATATTTACAAGCTGCAGAATTCACTTCCATTGCATCATTCCATGCAGAACTGTTAATAATGTCTGTAGCAAGATTCCATCTAAACTTGTTGATTTGACAACTGTCAAAAGATCATTTCTTTTTTGATAAAGCACTCATTAGTGGTGTTGCACTGTACAGGAATAGATCTCAGGGGCTGAATGTGCCTCAGTGTATGCTGGGCATTTCAGCATTTGTTCCCTGAGACTAACAGTGGACACTTGGGTGGGTACTGCCTGTTGCCACCATGAATATCTGCACAGGAAGGGCTCAGGGGATAGGCCAGGGGGCAACTGACCATTCTGGCTCCTCTCCGCAGGTACCCCTTCCCCATGATGTTCAGCAGCTGCAGCAGGAAGGACCTGGAGGCCAGCCTGGAGAAAGGCGTGGGCATGTGCCTCTTCAACCTGCCAGAAGTTAAGCAGTCTTTTGGGGGCCCAAAGTGTGGGAACGGATATGTCGAAGAAGGAGAAGAGTGTGACTGTGGGGAGCCAGAGGTAAGGGACCTGTGTTCGGATGTTTGCCTCTGTTCGTGGCTGGGCAAAGAAGCGAGGGCTTAGAGGCCTGGCACTGCAAACGGAAGCGCTAGACATTCAGGCTGGCAAGTCTGACAAGGCCTCACAAGCCAGGGCGGCCTTCTAGAATGTTAACTATTGCACAGAATAAGCTGTATCACCAGTTGAAAACGATAAAGAACCATCTCTGTTGAAGGACTCTGTATTCTGGCTGACGACAGGAACAATGAAAAAGCATTTCATTTTTGAGTTTGACAGAGAAGAAAGCCTTGAAATGCTAGCTTCAAATGGCTCATAAGCACCATTTCTTTCTCTTTGTAAGGCAAATGACCAGAGGGGAATATGAATTAGCAGCATTCAGTTTTAACCAAGAGCTCCTCCCACAGCTGCGGCAGCCTCTTCGGGGTGAACAGGCGGAGGCCCCCAGGCGTCTGCCTCTTTGCTTGCTAGCTTTCAGAAGCAGTAAGTGAAAGCTGGGAATGTTTTTATCCAGCAAAGGGCTTATTTAGCCCTGTTTTCCAGCCAATGTCAGGAAATATTCTTGTTTCTGTAGGGTCCAAGATAAAGTTAGTCAACATAAAAATTATAACAGCCTCTTTTTTATCTCTGAATAGTCTTGAGAAAGAAAGAGAAAGACGGGCACGGTGAGATTTCCTGGTGAAACAAGTGCCCGTCAAAGCTTGGAAGAGGCTGTATCTAGAATAAATCAAAACAAGCAGTTTGTCTAGCAGGCAGTCGGCATGTGGGATTCCCCCCACCCACCCCACCCACTCCACCCTGAGAGCTCATGCAGGCTGAAATGGTCGACAAGTTCAAGGCGGGCTTAGCTAACTTCACAGATGGGCTTAATGAGGCTTCAGGAAGAACATGTGTGGAGGGCTGCTCTGAGAGGAGGATTCTGGGGTGGAAGGATGTTGTGCTGAGCCCCTGGGACATCCCCCAAATTCCTGTGCTCATCACACAATCAGCTGATGTCCTAGCCTCTACTTCTCAGGTTTCTCATACCAGCAGGAAGGGTCTTGGTCTCAGTCTGACCGTTTCTACAGGCATGTTGGGAGTGAGTTAGTCCTGGGGCATGGAGGTTGTGGACCATGTTCTGGTGCCCTTGCAAACTCAGGATTTGTCAGTGATGACAGCACTCCACAGCTGTGTTCAGTTTTCCCACAGTGCACAGGGAGTGGCTGCTGGTGTGCAGCCATTTGTTGTTATGGGGCTGCAGAAACCCTTTTTAAGGCTGGTGGAGGAAAACTTGAAACCATCAGGAGGTGGGGTATGCAAAGGGGAAATTCCTTGGAAATGTTGATTACTTGAAGAAAACTTTAAAATTAGTTGAAATCACCCATATGTCTCAGGAGAGAGCATGTTGACTTAAAATGATTTGCCTTTGATTTGAACTTCTTATAACTGTTTATCTAAATAAATCTGATAGCTCTTCATGGAGCCCTGAGCTCTCAGGTGTGGAATGACTTTGTCAGGAGTTACTCCATATTCCAGCAGCACCACTGGCATTGCTGACACCCTCACCATCACGCCGTCACCATCTCCACTTCCACCACCATCACCACCAGATGCTCGAATGCCTGAAATTTGCCAGCCTCTGCAGTTTTGACACTCTCTTATCTCCACCACAGAGTCACTCAGCCTTGACAGGTGCTTACTACCTGCCCAGGCAGCAGGGTGCCCTGCAGGGCAGCGCCGAGTAAAGCAGACCCCTCCTTACGCAGAGCTGTGTTCTGCCTGCTTGGGATTCCCAGCTGCGTGCTTCTGTGGTCAGGGTCCTTACTTCAGAGGACAAGTTCTTGATATTTGACGAGAACTCCCATCCAAAATTTGTTCTTTCAAGAAATTTCTTGCTCAGCTTTTAGTGTTTTAGTTTTTGCTTTTCAAGGTCTAAGCTCCAACTGTATCTAATGGTGTGACAACCTATATCCAGCTTCCAAACTGCTTAGACCAGAACTTGCAGTCACAGCTGTTAACTGGGCTCATCCTCCGCAACCCAGGGTTCAGGCCCTGGAAATACCCGTCCCACCTTTGCTTTGTATTGGTCCATGTGTCCCCTGGACAGAGGCACTCAGTGGGTCACCAGATCAGTGAGCGAATAGGGACAGAACAACCTCCCCCCTCACAACTGGAACCCGCTACCTCCCCCGTGCCCTCAAAAATAACCTCCACTATTTTCAAGAAGATGCCTTATAGCCTTGGCCTAGTTCACAGTGATTAAGAGTCTATGTCTACTACCTGCGAAACCAGAGTGACAATTAGGGCATTTGCAGAGAATCCGCTAATGGCTTCATTATTCCTTCTTCTTTGGGGACCTAGTGTTCACGAGCTCCGCTGAACTTCTCTATTGAGTATTAAAATAATAAATGTATCAACAGATGAGGAATTTGTCTCTTCTGATAAATATAGTACTGCAGAAGAAACCGATTCTGGGTAGTTAAAGAGGCAAGGGACTGCCGGAGCCTTCTGCACAGGGGATTGGACTTGCACCAGCCATAAGGGTTTCCTGACAACTCACTCATTCTTCCAGCTAACAGGGTTGGGAAAGCAGCCTTATCTCCTTGTTTAAAGTCAATAGGATGCCAGTAGCTCACAAATATCTTTTAAACTTAGTTATCTTTCCCACATTATCAATCCCCTTTAAAGTCAGAGCCCTTCTACTTGGCTGCATTTCCATTTGAGCTGCTGCTGATATTATTTAGTGACTTGCGGGGAGGTGGGGAGGTAGTCTCACAGGGTCTCAGAACCCAGTTTTAGGATGGCTGATTTGACTTCGAAGTTCAAGGAAATCTGTAATTTGGTTAATGCATCATTAGTAGAGCCTGCCAGACTGTATGAACAGGGTGACATTGTTGTATATTTGATGGCACTCATCGGGAATGCAGCTGATGGATGCCTTTTAAAAAAACAAAACAAGTTCCTAAATATTTTAGGATTGTAAGTCTATGAGTTAGAGACCCTTACTGTCATTAACATTGTAGCTATGACTTCTGGGTGGCAGTTTTATCTTCCTGTGAATGTTATGTCCTCTGGATGTTTATAAAGCCCTTGAACAAATTTAAAATTTAATCACTTTGGATACAAGTCTAACAGGAGCAATGGTAAACCCCAAATGAGAGCATAATTCAGTTTCACACAGGGTACAGTTCAGCTATCCAGGTTAGCCATCAATCTTCTGGATTATTGACAGAATTTTGTTAATTGTGCTTATGATACTAATAATAAATTCATTCACAGAAGATGGTTTCCAGGAGGAAACTATTGTACTCTTGAATATGTAGTATATGATTGGCTTCACTCTAGCCAATAGTGTATAAATTCTTCAGCACACATCATATAGTTTTTTTTATTAAGGTGTCATTGATATACACTCTTACAAAGGTTTCACAAGAAAAACAATATGGTTACTACATTCACCCTTGTTATCGAGTCCCCTCCCATACCCCAGTGCAGTCACTATCCACCAGTGTAGTAAAGCACACATCATATATTAAATAAAAGGACACTGATAAATTCATCAGTACTAAGTAGACTCTGAACTCTCCCTTCTGATAATTTAATTTTACAATGTGTAAACACAATTATTGGAATTTTCTAAAGAACAAGGACCTCATAAATACACTAGATAAATGTATGTAGGCCCTTTGTTGAGAGCAAAGCATAAGGTGTCCATCTCTTGTTTCTTTTTGTTATAAAAAACTGGGTACTTGTGAAGCATAGCCTAACAAAGAAGTTAATTTCCTCTCTCACTTGTATTTCGAGAGGAGAATCCATCTAATGTTTGATCTCACTGTTTAAATCCCTTGCAAGTCAATGCACACAGCCCACAGGCCTCCTTTCCGCCTCATGGTTATTCTAACGTGCATTTCCCACCGAGGAGTACCTTGGCTGGTGGGACAGCCCACCTGTGCTGAGAAGAGCCTCATCTGGGCATTCGGTGAGATTGTAGGAACTGTGGTTGAAATCCAATTAATCTGACTTCATTTCCTGCCAGAATGCTCCAGATTAAAAGGAGCAGACAGTCAGTCTTTGACATGTAAAGTTTCCATGCATCCGTATATATTTTTAAATAATTAAGTTCCACATATTCCAGTGGCCTGAAAGAGTTCACTGCAGTAAGACCTGCAGTAGTGGGAGACCTCCCTGCAGAGCCCCAGCTGCTGCTGACCTGGATGACTTTCAGCCAGTCCTGTCCAGGCTCTTAGCCCTTCATGAAAGGCGCTCAAGTGCTGCTGACTTTTCCCAGGGACCCGCGGATCAGTCAGTTCATAAACACTTAACTAAAGCTTTACTTTTCTACAGATGAAGAGAATCCTCCTTCAGGCTGGTTTTTAGCTCAAGAGCCGGGCTCTCTGGTTCTTTCTTCCCTTTTGCAGTCACTTAAGATGCCACCTTGCTTTCCATGACTAGTTGCTCCAGTGATCCTGTCAAATGAATCCCCTTCCCCTCTCCAGGAATGCATGAATCTCTGCTGCAACGCCACCACCTGTACCCTGAAGCCAGACGCTGTATGCGCACACGGGCTGTGCTGTGAGGACTGCCAGGTGAGTTCTCCTGCCCCCAAGGTCACCCACAGGTTCACGTGGTTCCACACCGCTGTGGGGCAAGCGATGGGGCGGGGTGATTTCCCCACACTCACTCTTAACTCTTCACACAAGTTGGCATTACCCTCCTCCTATTTTTCTTATCTTCCAACCTTCGGATGAAATGCACATGCTAAGCCATCTGTCATAAATTATTTCATTATGGGCTGAAAAGTAAGTGGACCGAAAGACTCGAGCCCAGTGTCAAACATACTAGCTGTGCTGTTGGAAATACACGTGGTCCCATCACCCTTGCAAGAACGAGCAAGAGCAGGCCCCCACCCGCATCACGCAGCCTCTGCTCAACCCCAAGAACATCTGCCTGCTGGACTGAGAAGCCATGTGGGTTGTTCCAGGGGTTTGGTGACCGTCTGGATCCCAGTGCCCTCCTACCAGCATGTGCCAGCCGAGAGCTGCAGGTTTCTGCTTCTGCCCTCTCTGCCACAGGACTGCGTTTGTTTGTCAATTCCATTGTCTGTCTCATTTTTCGCAGCTGAGACCTGACAGAGTAGAAGACTGAACTTCGATTCAGAGATTCTAAGGGTAGAGTTTTATTTCTTTTTAAGTATGCAGTTCTGTTGGCATCCTGCTTGCAGGAAACTCCCTCTTAGCTACCCACTAGAGCGCGGTGATTCAGAAGCACATTACAGCAATTTACATTCTGCTTAAAATATCCTTTATCCCCTTCCTACTTGTGGTTAACTTATGGGGAACATTAAAAGCAGCTGGCACGCCCTGGCACATAGCAGCTGGCGGTGGAAGGTGCCTGGAAGGGGGTGTGGTGGGGGACACCGCTGGCCATGTAGCTTCAGACAGGTCACTCTGAGCCTTACTTTCAGCCACAAAAAGATGCAGTGTTGGTCAGATGGTTCCTAACATCCTTACAGCTCCCTTGCGTCAATTCTCTCCCTTGCCCTATCAAGTCCTACAGACAGGTTTTGAGCTCTATGATTTGATGACAAATAATTGCTATTGTGATTGTGCCCTTGGAATTATTTTTGTCCACTTGCCCACAAATGCTAGCGCCCACCATCTTAACCACATGATGGTGTTGGTGAGCAGAGACCTTCAGAATTAACGAGCCCATAAGCCAACACTCTCCCCTCTGCGTCCTCTAAGGGGACAAGTGCCAGTGACTGACTTGTTTGCTCACCAGAAGATGCTGTTGCATGAAATTAAAAAGAGGCTGCTCTTCTTAGCGGAAAGGTGAGCCCCAGAGCTGGGAGTGCCTGTCTATTGAATGACGCTCTCTGTTGTAAAGGAGGCTTCCTGTGAAAGCCTCACCCTCCTGTGTGAGGCTGAATGAGGATGGCTCTCCCCCTTTGCACCCCAAGGGCTGCTGAGGACCTGCTCCCCCTTTCCACAGTGTGCACACTGTCAACAGCTCTCTCTTTTCAGCTGAAGCCTGCGGGGACGGCGTGCAGGGGCTCCGGCAACTCCTGTGACCTCCCTGAGTTCTGCACGGGGGTCAGCCCCCAGTGCCCAGCCAACGTGTACCTGCACGATGGGCACCCGTGCCAGGGGGTGGATGGTTACTGCTACAACGGCATCTGTCAGACACATGAACAGCAGTGCGTCACGCTCTGGGGACCAGGTACGTGGCCGCCACTGGCTGGGTGCCCAGCAGCAGGGCTGGGGCACTTCCCTCTTTTCAGACAAATCCCTCCTGGTGCCTGCTGTCTAGGCAGGGGGAGGAGCTGGCTCCTGAGTGGAGCTGGAGCCATGCTGGGTGCTGGGCATGCCGAAGTGGGGAGCCCAGTGCTGTCCAGCGAGAGATGTGTGAGCACCTATGGGTGTGCCCCATGGGATGAGGGGCACAAACAGCCGTGAGCTCTGTCTGCAGACAGTTTAGCAGGTAGTTGGGCAGACAGACTGACAGAACTTCCCACCAGCACTCTAATTGTGTAAGTGCCCCTTAGTGCTCAAAGGGGGATGCCCGCCGTGGGCTGAGGGTGCCAGAGAGCTGATGCAAATCATCTGTGAGCCCGAAGGTGGAGAGATGTCACTCCTGACACAGGAACCAGCAGTGTGTGGGAGGGAAGGTGGGGACATCTGGGGTGGGACACCTGGACCCAGAGCTCAGAGAAAGAGCAGGGGCACAGGTGTTTGTGGATCTTGTATGCCCGTGTGGGTGTGAAGGCAGAGTGAGGGACCTGTGCGTCCCCAAGGGGCTCCCTGATGGGAAGGTGGCCTCGAGCGACAGCTGTGGTGGCCAGGTTAGAGGCTGCCTGTGGGGGGGACACAGGGCCAGGTATTTGGTAGCACTGTCCTTCTCACCCTCCAGGGACCCTAGGCTAGGGACAATGACTATGGTTTTACAGAAGGTGAAGCTCAAACTCAGAGACCTGAAGTCATTTTCCCAAGGTTGTAGGCCGGGATTTGAACCCAAGACATTGTGACCCAAAGCCCATGCCTAACTCCCACGCTGTGCAGTCGCCCCAGACAGCCACAGAAGCTCTAAAATTAAAGAGGTGATTGGATGAAAAGAGGGAGGGTCCAGGCCCCGCTGGGTGTCTCCCCAATGCCCACCCTCTGGGGCCAGAGCTCCCAGGGCCCTGTGGGCTCGGCACCCCTATGGCTGCTGCTCTGGCCCCAGGACTCAGGCAGCGAACCCACGGAGGGTACTGCCTTGTCGTCCTGCTGGCTGCAGGGGTGACCCCGCAGTGGCTGGCCAGGCAGAGAGTCAGGCAAGCTCTAGTAGGGACGGACACTGGTTGTGGACCCTTGTCAGCCATTCCCTGGGGGGCTTTGGTTTTAGGGGTAATGAGAAAGTGGTGACTCACCATCAGAGCTCGGGTTTGGGGTGTGATGTGAAAGCAGTGACCCCAGCGTGCGGAGCAAGGCAGGCATGTGTTGGGCTGGTCCTGTCATGGGGGCCCCCCATCCCTGCCAGCCAGAGACAGCCGTCCACACGGGGCACTTCCTGAGGGAGGAGGAGGAATGGCAGGGGCGCAGCAGGGGGCCAAGATGGCCGCTGCCCACCACGCCCTGTGGGGATGGTGCCACCTCCTCAGGCTTCGCTGGGCACTGAGGCCGGCAGAGCAGGGGGCCTGTGGTGCCTGGGACCTGCGGCTTCATCTCTGGACCCAGACCAGCCCTCAGCCGGGCCCCCTGGCCTGCTAGCCCAGGAGGGCCCACAGGCAAGGGTGGGGCTCTCGTCTCGCCTCGGGTGGGCACTTAGCAGTGAGAAGCCCAGGGCAGGAGTCGCAGCGTGCCTGTCACACTGCTGGGGGGACTCTGAGTGCCGTCCTGGCTTCCGACACCTTTTGGCCAAGTGAGGTCACTCTGGGACAGTGGCGGCCGCAGCTGGCCAAATCCTCAAGGCCTCACAGATCCGCGGTGGCCACTCCTGCCCAGCCTTTCTCCGGAAACAGTAATCTCCGCTTCTTGAGTTACAGGGGACATGGCAGCGCTCCCTTCCGAGGAGAATTCCTTGGCCGGAGCACACACAGCACTCGAAGCTCTTGGAGTGCGACATGCTCTTCGAGGCCCTGCTCTCACGCCGGGTCTGGGTCCGTTTCCACGGCGAGGTCCCCTGGAGCAGCACAGCTCTCCTTGAGCCACCGCCACCGGGTGACTCAGCTGGCTGCAGGCCTTTGATTCATGGTGACCAAGGCTGGTATTCATTATCTCATCAGATTAGTCCTCCTCAGGCTGCCTGACCAGAGAGAGATGGAGCCAGACAGGCAGACAGACTGACAGCCTGACTCATGGACCGAGCTTTTCAAGAGCAGGCGCAGTAGGAAGTTACCTGCTTTGACCTCTCAACACCCCTGTGACCAGGGCTGAGCCCAGGGCCCGGCTGCCCAGGGGCGTGCACCACCCTCAGGGCTGCTTCCCTGGCGCTCCTGGCTTGCCCCTCTCCCCCTGCCCTCTCACTCTGCCTGGGGGACATCTTCCTGGCCATGGCAGCTGCACAGGGACTAGACATTGCTGGCACTGGGATGTGCAGAATTCCTAGAATCAGGCGGGCATGGACCCACCTCAGCCTCATGACTTCCTCGGTTCAGGTTGCCTTAGCCAACCCCTCCTTAGTACTTCCAGTCACCACACACACTTCCTCAGGAGAGCAGGGGCACGTGTGCAAGGACCAGCTGTGGCCCTCTGTGCGAGGGGCTCCTGAGAGGGGCCTGTGACCACCCCCTTCCGGTGGCTGCCTCACCGTCTAGTTCACGGGCACTGCATGAGTTACCTGTGGGTGTTGTAACAGATTACCACAAGCTGAGTGCCTTACAACAACACAGATTTATTATCTTCTAGTTTTGGGGTTAGAAGTCCTAAAATCAAGATGCTGGCAGCGCAGTGTTCCTTTTGGAGGCTTAGGGAGCACCCATTTCTTTGCCTGTTCCGGCTTTCAGAGGCCACCTACACTCCCCGCCTCACCTTCCTCCAACTCAGGGCCCACCACATGCATCTCCTAGTCTTGGTCTCTCTGACCTCTGCTTCTGCAGCCCCTTCTCCTTCTCTGACTGACCCCCGCTGCCTCCCTCTTGAAAGGGCCCCAGTGATCATACTGGATCCACCCAGACCACCCAAGAGCATCTCCCCATCTCAAGATCCTTAACTTAGTCACATCTCCAAAGCCCTTTTGCCATGTACAGTAGCATACCCACAGGTTCGAGGGTTACGATAGGGATCACTTTGGGGGGCTGTTTTTCTGCCTACTGCAGGGTTACATAGGCCACTACTAGCAAGGTGACCTTCAGCAACTTGCTCAGCCCTCTGTACCCCATCTGTAAAATGGGGATAGTCATATGCCCGCTGTAGAAGCACGTTATTGTCCTCTAACATAGCTTATTATCTACGTTATGCAGCAGCATGCTAGATGGGTGGCGCCTAGCAAATCTAAACTCCGTAAACTAACTGAACTCGTAGAAAGCTCAGAAACTAGGGAGCAAGATTCTCAAGTCCTGGGGCTGCGTAAGGGCTGTGATGTGATGAGACACAGAAGAGAGACAGGGCCCAGCCTGGGGGTGGGGAGCCAACCAGGAGGGCTTTGGAGGTGAGCTTGCCCTGGAGTAGTTGTTACCCAGGGGTGGGAGAGAAAAGGTCATTCCTACATATGGACGAGCAGGGGTCAAGGCACGCAGGAACAGCGGGGCTCACCCAGCAAACCGCAGACAGTTCTGCGTGTCTAGAGCGCGGGCCCAGTCCTGGGGAGTAGAGATCCTCACCCACTCTCCCATATATTAAGCATTCATCAATGCCCTGCTATTATAAGATGCTGACTGAGGAGCCCCAACACTGCCAGAGTGACACACTTGCCACAGTCCTGGGCCCGGACTACAGTCAGGATGTGACCATCACAGTCCCGGGGCGGAGGTAGCTTCCTCGGCCACAGGCTCCCAGCCAGCAAGATGCGCTGGGATGAGAGCATTTCAGAGCCATGTTACAGTGGTTGGCTTGAATTAGCGTTTCATGATTCAGAAAAGGAAAACTTATTATCAGGGATGCATTTGCCATATTTCATTTCCCCGTCCGTCAACAAATGCTGTGGGATCTGGACCATGTTTGCCTTGGAGTCATTTTTGGCCCCTTGCAAAGCACAGTAACTCTGAACTCTAGGAGTCACCGGGTCCTTGCTCCGCTGGCCCAGGCTCACCCCCCTGGGACCCGGGCCGAGTTGTTGAGTCATCCAGAATTCTCCAGTTATATCCGGGAAGTTGATTACTTACTCTCCAGGTCTGGCTACCCAAACACTGACCGGATGAAGCCCTTCCTTCCAGCTAACTATTCCCTTTTGAAACGGACTTTTTTCAAGCCAGCATTAGATTTCAATAAAATAATCCTGCTTCCAAATCTTTCTACAAATAAAATGATAGAAAATGTAAAACATATGCCTGCAATTCCTCACTGGCAAAGTAATACACTTTCAGAATACCTTTCAGGGTTTTGGTTCATTTGTTTCTTTTCCTAATTGTTATTGTTGATGACGTTCCTGTTGGCTGTAGGAGTTTCATTTTTTTCCTCACTGACTTTTCTCCTACAGATCTTGTTTCTCCGGACTTCATACATTGAGGTCAAACACATAAATGTTACCTGCAGTGCAAATGTAACTTGTATTTAGCTCTTTGTCTGGTTTAGGCTTAATAGCCACAAAGATTTTCTGTCAGTGTGACATGACCTTTATCCCTTCTGAAATAACAGCTGGGTGTTTTTCTTCAGGCAGAAAATTTACTTTTGCCAGTGTTGTGTATCTGAGCCACTGGCATGGTTACCGAAAACGTTATTTGGAAATTAATCTTACAGATAACTACACTAGAGCCCCAAACAAGCTGCATCAGGGAAGTCCTGAAATATGTTAGTTTTATCCATTTTCTCTCTCACCAGAAAATAGTGCCATTTGATTTATACAGGGTGAGCTGGCCAGACAATTTTTATGGGCTGGTAAATAGTCAGTGTTTATCTGCAAGGCTGGTTTAAATGAGTTTGCTTTATTTTGATACACCTGGGGCAGTACATTTACTAATCATCTACAACTCTGGTGGCTACAGATGGGAAGCAGAGATGTTTTTGCCAAGAGTCGTGTTGTTTAGGAGTCGGGAAAGTCTCCCTTTTGTCCCACTGTGTGAGAAGGAGATGATAAAATATGTT